AACAGTTAACAAATTAATATGTTTATATAATAATATTTAAATATTGACATCAATTCGCAATATAATATTTTAAACAAAAAGATTCGCACTATCGAGAAAATTCTTCTCAAAAAATATTTTATTTTTGATGATTTTTTGGGTATGACATTTTTAACACGAGACACGATTTTAATTTTTAGTGATTCTTTTATTTATATTAATTTCGTCATTCTTACTGCTCGATTAATAATTATTTTTCGACTATTTTTATAACTATCTTCGACGATTGGTGACATAGTGATTTTAACACTAGATTCACGGAACCTGTCAATTTGACAGAAGGGTTGCTCCAATTATACGATGATAACAGATTTAGTTAACTTATATTGAGACTATTAATATAATATATAATTGTTTTTAAATTAAACTAATAATTAAAAAAAAGGCACGTGGTTTCCTTTACCTGTCAATTTGACAGGTGTGCTTAGAAATAGGTATACAGATTGCGTCTGTAAACCTAATATTAAATTTCACCATGATTTATTAAATGTCAAAATTAATAAGAAATAAAAAAGAATAATACTGATAATAGTGGATGGATATTATAGTATAGTTAACAGTACAGTACAGATGACAGTGGATGGGTATTGATGATAGGAATTCTATAATTTAATAGGACCGGCGTGTTAAGCGAGGTTAGACACGTGTTTATGAATCACCCGGTGTATATCGCAACGAAAGTCGGAGAGAAATAAATAACGGCTCGTTAAGTCGTTAAGAACGAGCGTGTCGCAGTGTCCGGATAGAATTATGCGAACGTTAATGAACTCCGACGGTGATATTCATTTGCTGAATTTTATTTACAGACAACTGCGGACACAAGCGGGACCTTCAGTGCGTAAAATTCAGTTTCACCCCCTTTAATCACGCGTCACTCGCAAACGAATATTATTTGTGTAATATCAATCGTGGAAAATCGGCGCCCGTTCACGCGTTACCGCTACTTTGGAAATAAATTTTCCGCCCTGCTAATGTACACTCCAAACTCGAATAACGTACGTGAGAAATCGGGGGAGGATAAATGATTCGAATAAATTTATTCATCGCTGCGAATGAATCAAATTACTATTGAAATTAATACAGTCAAACAAGATTTTGGTTGAAAACTTCGAATTTCAATTTTTTGGAGTATTTATTATTTATTAATAGGAATAGCATTCTTTGCTGATGAATCTTTTGATGTAGTTGATAAGGGGTGTTTTATTTTTGCGGACTTATGGACACTCAGTTTCGATAATTTTTTGGTATTTTCTGGAATAGTATGTTTCAATTGTGTATTTTTTAAAGTTGCTTTCTTTGAGTATATATTCATTCTATATATTATATATAATTATATATTATATCATGTAATCATATATCAATCCTAGCACTACGATTTTATTATGAAAAATTGTATATCGAAAAAGTATTGTATTTGAGTTTAGTTAATCACCATGCATTTATTCCATCGATGATAAAATTGGGTAAAAATTTTAGAAATTCTTTGAATTTTGTGCTTATTAAAATATATTAAATTTATAGTTATGGTCGTGTGATAAATGAAGCTTATATGCGTGAGATTTTATACAAAGAATTCGTAGCAAGCTAGACTCATTATTGTACTGCAAAGGTACATTATAGGTATACATATTGTACTAGCAAATTTTCATTATACTCATCATATATTAATACACACATTCTAATATTAAAAATAATACTATATTTTATTTAATTACATTATTTATATATACTACATTCAGTTACCTATAAATAACATTCCAATATTAAAAATATAATTCAATATTTTCCTTAATTAAATTATTCATACATACTGCATTCAGTTAGCTACTCTTCATATATCCTTTAACGCAGTATTAAAAATCGGAAACAATTGCAAGAACAAACTTCCATACCTTCCAATGCTCCAACCGCTCTCCACGAACCACTTCTACCCAGCTTCCCTCCTCCTCCACCCCCTCGCCCTTAAACTTTCACTCGAACGCCCTAAAGGCCACTTTTAAAATAGTCGAGGGTAAAAAGTAGATGCTGGTGGTTCAGTGGAATTTCGATGGGCCAGTCCTCGTGTGCTCGAGTGCTTTCGATATTGCGGTGCATCCGAAAATTCCTAAGGGCTTGGTAACGCGACCAGCGGGTTGGGTTAAGGGTGGCAGGGCTCGATCGATAGTGTCTCGTGGGCAAAAGAAGCCGGTGTGCCTGCCAACGCGAACTCCACAGCTTTGCACAGGACTCTGGACCTATCGTACACGACTTTACCCCCTAGTTTCGAGATACTGCAGTCGCGGATGGCGGATCAGGCTATGGATAGCTACACTGATTCGCTTTCAGGTAATTGGCCATGGTCTTTAGTTTGCTTTCCACCCTCGCAAAGATGGAAAAAGAGAAATTTTATTTGAAGACGGTTGGCTGACTCCATTGAGGCTCTCCATATGTTTGAGATCCAGGAAATTTGATTGGCTATCGAAGTCCTAATAACTGAGGATCCTTTGGTATAGTGATTAGGGTAGTTCGTAGTAGATCTTGAGACTATGGTTGGTTCGCCCAGGTAACAGACATGAAGAACAACTCTGGTCAGCCGGAAGTTAAAACCTGTACATCAGAAGGCACTTTTCTCCTGACTATTATTGGATACAATCTGATCAAAGATGTATCTAGGAGAAAAATAACCGTGAAACTGACAGATATCTAGCACGAAACGCGTTATGCTCAAATAAATCTTGCAATTATGGTTGTCTGGACCAAGTAGAAGACTCGAGGAGCAATTCTGATCAGCCTAGAATCAACATGCCCACCAGGAGACGCTTTTCTTCTGACAATTATTGGATGACATTTGACCAAATACGAATCTAAGAGAAAAATAACCACGAAGCTGTCAAATATCTAGTATGAAACACGTCATGCTCAATGAAGTCTTGCAATTATGGTTGTCTGGACCAAGTAGAAGACTCGAGGAGCAATTCTGATCAGCCTAGAATCAACATGCACACTGGAAAACACTTTTCTCCTGACCACCTTCAGGTCCAATCTAACCAAAGATGAGCCTAACAGAAAAAGAAACGTGAAAACTTACAAGTGTCCAGCAGGAACCACGTTATGCTCGCCTGCTCTTCGACCAATCCTCCACACACACCTATCAAAGATCCTCTGGTTACCGAAACTGGTCAATATCGTCAGCCACGCGACGTTCAGGCGGCAGTATCCTCGTCGAATCTCGGACCAAGAAGTGTCACGTCAACTGTCACGCATACATACGTCACGGATAATTCCTGCAGCACGCATACCGGCCACGTCTGGACACAATTTAGCGTCTCTGCAATGCCGGAAATGTCCCAGCAATTCTGACAAATGTATTCTGGCCTGTTATCACGGAACAGGAGCACGGTGCCGCGTACCGCCAGATCTGGCTATCCCTTTGTTTATCGAATTTTCATTTGAAAG